GGGGTTGGCGAGAGTGTGTGGAGTCGCTAGCAGCCGTGTTTGGTAGTGGTTTTCTTCTGGGGAAATGTAGAGTGGGAGTGCTGCTCAAGAGGTGGCGGTCTAGAGAGAGGCACAGACAAGGGGTTGTAGGGGAGGCAATGGCTCGCAGAAGCAGGTAGGTTGCGGCAAGGGGAAGAGGCTCGGGGAGCAGCGTAGGGGGGGGTGTCGAACGAGGAAGGAATGGTGGCAGTCCCTGAGAGCGGGATGTCGGGTTCCTGGCAAACACGCTAGGATCTCCCTGCAATGGCCCACGCCAGCAAAGTGTAAGTACTGGTAGGTACCTAATAGGTACCTAGGTGCTGTATCTAGGTACCTAAGGTACAGAAGCCGCTTCGTTCTCGCCCTCAGGCTTGTGCGAGTCACGCTGGTCACAGTAGATCTCTCAGCTTAGGTACCTAGGCAGTTGGCACGGCCAGCGAGCGTGTCAGTCGTCTGCGGCGCCCACATGCACAGCCGTTTCACGCGTGCACCATGCTTGCACGCCCAAGGGACACGCGAAGCTACCGCAAAGAAGAGGATCATTGGGGGGCACACGGGGGGCACACGGGGGGCACACGGGGGGCACACGGCGGACAGACCGAGAAACAGCGGACAACCGCAGCAGCAAGCAGCAAGCAGCAACTACAGCTCGTGCTGTGCGACCCGTCGGCAGCAGGCACAGGAACGGCATCGCGTACTCGCAGCCGTCCCGGACCTCGCAACCTCGCAAACTCTCCCGCACGCTCCGAAGGGATCGAGCCGAGCGCAAGCTCCCGCCCTCGGGCACGCTCACTCACGGCGTCCATGCAGAGGCCTAAATACCTCCAAGCGTTCCACATGTCTGTGCGGCAAGGCGATTTGCAGCCGCACCCGTTGTCAAGGCGAGGGATGATAAAGGGGGCAGGTCGCACGTTGTGCTGTCATGTTGTGGTCAATCACTCTGTCCCGCAGGTAGGTAACAATGCCAGAAGCAGGTCTCCTGGAGATCCGAGGTAGTGACATCGAGTCTTTCATGCTAGTTCTGGTGTGCTCTCATCACGGAACTGTGGCAGCGTGGGGATGTTTCCTGCGATGGTTTCACCTCCGCAATCTCCCAGATAAACGGTTACTGCCATGACGAGGACGGCTTATAGGTCATGGTGCGTTGCAACGATGTCTACAGGCTTCCCCTACTGCATAAGCATTCCAGTCTTGGGACGTTGGACAGAAGGAGATGGCGCCACGCGAACATTAGAAGCCGGTCTACACAAGAGATGCAGAAAACAGACCGCGATGCCCAAGGGTATAGAAGCGTGGGGAAGTAGAACAAGATGGCGTGCAGGACTTTTGACCAACAACGCGCAGGGGAAGTCCGTCCTGCGGGCCAGTAATACAGATCCCTACGGGTCCGAAACACGGATTCACCCACCACCACTAAACACCTGGAATGCAGCTTCCCACCCGACCGTTGCAGACGTGCAACGACGCTCAAGCGACCAAATAAACCCTTCGCCAGGCTCCTGACAATGATCAACACCCAAAGAACTCCAGGTCTAGGAAGCCAGAGCCCTGACCTTTTCCCGCTCAGCCAGCATCTCAGCCTGCAGCCTCCTCGTCCGTCTCATCGCCTCATCCTTCTCGGCCTGCAGTTCCGCAACCTCGATCTGCGCAATGTTCATCCTGCTCACCACCTCCTGCATCTCATGATCCGCGTCCCTGAGCGCCTTTTCCAGGTCCCCGACTCTCTTCTCCAGCAACTCCGTCCTCGTCGCTTCGGCCATGGACTGGCCGAAGCCGCTGGTCGTTTTGTCCAGTCGGGGTTGCCTGAGTGCAAAAAGCGGCGAGAGCGGAGTCAACGGTGAAGGCTTCGAGGGGCTGAGCAGGCCGTTCTTCATGCGCTGGAGCTGTGTGTTGTGGCTGTCTTGGACGTCCTTAAGCTCCTCTTCGTGACGCGAGACCATCTCTTCTGAGTGGTGCTGTGCAGCCATAACTTTATCTTCTAGCGACTTGAGCTTGCCCTGCATGTCAACAATCTTTGCCGCCGAAGATTTCTGCTCTCGCTCGCCGCGGCCGATTGCGTCAGCAAGTCGATGCCGGAGCAGTTGATTGGAGTGGAGCTGCTGCTGTACTTGTGATGCAAGCTCATCCATGCGGGCTGCTGAAGCGTAGAGCTCTGCTGCGAGACTCTGTTCCTTGCCAAGGTGCGCGAGCTCAGACTGCTGGAGCGCTCGGGCTTGTTGTCGATATTCCTCGGCTTCCCGCCGTGCAAAGTCCCGCTCTACTTCGGCATCGGAAATGCTCTGCCTCAACAGATCCAGTGTTCGCTCGGCTTCTGCACTCGTTTCGCCTAGCGGGCCTTCGTCTTCCATATGTCTAATTCGTGCCAGGGAGAGAGCATGGGTTGTCTGCAGCTCCTTGTATGCCTTGTTGAGTGACAATGAAGCCGATGGATTGCCAGTGTCCAGCTCTGTCATAGAGCTCGTGGAAGCTTTGCGCTCGGGTATGAAGATGTCACGTTCCTGGAGTAAGTCGCGAAGCGAACTTGTCTCTTGCTCAGCGCGATCGAGGTCCATTCGCAGGCCGCTAAGCCCTTTTTCGCATTGCCATTTCTGCTCGAGAGCGTCGTCGGCACGGCGGCGGAGATGGTTGACTTCGTCCCTCAAATGTGTGACCTCCTTGTTGAAGGCTGTGCGTCTTGGCGTGGCGTTCAGCGCCCGGTCGCGTTCCATCTCGAGGATTTTGATATGTTTCGCATGCTCCCTCGCCTGGTACTCGTGCCGCTGCAACAAACACCGCAAGGCCCTGTGCAGAGCGTCGCGCTGGTCTTCGATGTCCTTGGTGCGGTCGTGAAGCGCATCCCGAGGCTCTAATCGCTCAACCTTTTCCTTAACAGAGCCCGATCTTGTTAACGAGCTCTTTTCCTTAACTGAGTTAGACCTTGACAGACGCTTCAGACCAAGGATTGAAGTCCTGGCGAGCGAGTTGGACCTCGACAGGCCTATCCGGGGCGACTTCAGCGGCGGGAGGGTCTCACTCTCTTCGTGGAGAGAGTCGATGCGAGAGCCCTGTTGGGGAGAGTCTTGCTGCGATCTCAGGGCGTGCGCTAGACCCTGGTTCTCGTGCTGGAGCGACTGGATCTGCTGCTGCATACGGGAGTTCTCGTAGGTGAGAGCTTGAGTACCAATAGCTTCTGCCTCGAGACCTTCAACTCTAGCTTGCAGCTGCGGAACAACCTCTTCACGAAGGTTGTCCCTTTCGTCCCTGTACTCTTGGAGCTCTTGACGCATAGCCGCCAGCATCTCCTCGAAGTTCTCTTTGAATTGCCGTTCTTCGCTCAGCCGCCGGCGAGTGTCGTCAAGAACAGCTTCTAGCCCGCGTGCTTGCTCAGCCTCTTCCAAGATTTCGGCCTGAATGCTGTCCCGAGATTCAAGCTTCTCTTCCAGCGATTGTACCCGCGCTTCCAAATCCCTGCGCCGTCGCAGCTCCTGCTGGAGCCTCTCTGCCGTGTCGACTTTGAGCTGGGCCATTTCTTGCTCTGCCTTCCTACGCAATCTCTCCAAGGCTTCAATCTTGGTCTCACTGTCGCCAAGATGTTGTCTGACAGAGCTGGCGCCAGAATCCGAGTAATAGTCGCTCGTCCGTCGGTTCACCTCGGGGACTGATTGGAGGCCTTCCATGTTCAACCTCTCGACTTCATCTTCCAGCTCCATCTCCCTGCGGATGGACGTCGCGAGTTGAGAGCTCAGCTCCTTGAGCTGGCATTCGAGTTCTTCGACGTGGGCGTTCATGCCCGTAGAGCTGGATAGCAGTGGCGTGCCAGGGAGGTTGAAGTACGATTGCTGAGATGAGGCGTTAGCCATTTTTACGTCGAGGCCTGCAGGGGCATGCTTGTTGCTGGGCCACAGCCTCTCGGTGGAAGGCTCCGCTTTGCGTAGTGAAGGCGCTGGAGATACGGATCGATCAGAAAATGTCGTACTCGGTGACTCGGCGCCAGGCGTTTTGCTCCAGCCGAAGAGTGAGGTGAACCTTCCGCCAGGTGACTTTGGCTGGTTGACGGCAGTAGCCGCTTCTGACAAGCCTTGATCATAGTGATTGTCTAGGAATTCTTCGGTGATGCCGTCGTATTGTAGCTTCAGGTCAGGTGGTCTTGTTGGTCTTGCCGAATCCAAGGATGACATGGTGTTGGACCGCGAGTGCCTTGGAGAGGGAGCAATCTCCTCTGAATCGGATATCGAATAGCGGGCGGTGTGGTAACTGCTGATCGCACGGACATTCCGTGGTCGAGCTTTGTTCTCCGAGGGACTTGCTTGTTCAAGTTGTGGCTCATATGGCCCCGGGTTTCTTTGTTGGCCCGGGAGTCGCGTGTCGGTAGATGTGGATATCGCCTGCGGGATCAATGGCGTGTTCCCATGAGGGTCTCTGCAGGCGGTTAGCAAACATGGTCGGAAGGATCCGCGATTCAGCACGACATACTTGTCGAGGTCTCGGGGCGCAAAGGGTTCCTGCGCGCCGCTCAGGAGAGGGGATAGATCCCGGTCTGCCCGCGGCAGAGCCAAGGGCGGGGGACTGTCGAGGGAGAAGGACCGCTGGACGTTGGCCCGCTCTGCAGCTCTAGCTGTCACTGTATGGTCGACGGAATGGAACGGAGCAGCTGTCTGCGGAGAATTGGCAGGCAGCGGCTTTCGTCGGACTGGAGAGGGCGCGGGCAACGAAGGCGTTTGTGCTCGAAAAGCTGCAAAGGACTGCACAGCGAGTCCCGCTAGCGGAGCCGGCTTCTGGCGCGTTTGAGGAGGAGGAACTGAGAGCGGGGGGTCGGAGGAGCCTTGGAGGAGGTGGGAAGGAGGGAGTTCAACGTGCATCGTGCTCGTCTAGCGGTGGCTCGCAGGACCGATGCCAGACATGATTTTGCACAAATGTAGTGTATGGGGTGACTTGGGCCCGCGCTGGCGCGGACAGGGCGTTGAGGCACGATTGAGTTGGTTCGGGAATCGGAAATGAGGCGCTGGGCTATGGTATTACTTGGGTATCGAAAAAGGGGGAGGTGAGTGGGCTAAGGATTGCTTGAGCTTTCCACAGGGCGTCTTGCAAAGGTGAGAGCAGTGCGATTCTCGAATGTCGAGGGCTTCGCGCAGGAGCATTCTGGCATTCGCGGGAAGCGCTCGCCCATGGGCTGGAGAATGCGCTTGTGTTTGTTTCAGGATATAGGTAGGAACGCTTCGTCTTCCCGTTCGAGTAAGGGTCCCCGCTCAGAAAACAAGGGATTGCTTACCCAGACGCCGAAACTGCACGTGGGCAAGGCAACGTCTTCTTTGACTGGACCCAGGAGCCAGGGAGAGCGGGGCCGGCTCCTTCTTGGCTGCCGCCAGAGCCTCACGATGCAGAGCCTCACGGTGCAGAGCCTCACGATGCGGAGCCTCACGATGCAGAGCTTCACCACCAGCATCTGATGCATCAGGAGTGAGCAACACTGGCACCAGAGCACTCGACACCATAGAGTGCCAACGTGCAAAACATCTGTCTCGGCAGCTGCGATTGGAACTGAGTCCTGAGTAAGACTGCACCACAGCAGATTGCGCCAACACCGAACTGTCCACTCACCAACCCTCATCGCAGCCCTCGCTATCTAACCGCCGCAAATTCTCCGATTGCTCGCCCCGCCGCTGCTTGCGGACGTGTCCGTCATCTCTTGTCAATCTACCTAGCCAAACTCCATCTTCCTGGTGCACCACCGACGCACAATGTCCTTCCGCTCACCACACCAATCCCAGTCTCACTCCCAGCCCCAGTTCCACTTCAATCCCTCGACGCCTCCCCCGCCGCCCCCAAAACCCTCCGCCCACTCCAGCGGCCGCGGGACGCCCTCAACAGGCCCTTCACTACCTCCTCTGCCATCTGGGCAGCCCCTGCAGCAGCCTTACAATCCACTACAGCAGCAGCCGTATGGATATTCGCTCGGCCAGCATCAGGGACAGCATGGATCTCCAGTCGGCATACAGCCGCCAGAAGATGGGTGGCTACCGGCGATGCTGAAGGATAAGACGTGCGTCTCGTCGGAGCATCGATGGGCTTGGATGCTGACCGTTGGCGCAGGACCGTCGACTTGCAGCACGTCCTCCAAACACCGAGCCTACAACGCGCCCTCGTCTGCTCCCCTGAAACTGTTCATCCGTCTATCCCAGCGTCGACTGCGCCTTTGCAGAACCTTTTCGCTGCAAACATCGCTCTGGCTGAGTCCCTAAGAAATCTAGAATCGCACCTGCAGCACCAGCGCCAAAGCACACAGTCGCGGCTCCTGGCACTTCGAGCTCTTGAGGGACAGTGGCGCGCCAAACAAGCCGAGCAAGACGCCGCCTTACGTGACTTTAGTCCACCAGCATTGTACCAGCGCCTCAGCGCCGCCGTAGGAGAGCAGGAGTCCCTATGCCGCGGGCTAGAGGAAAGCTTCCTGGATGGAGAGGTGGCACGCAGTGATGGACAAGCCACTGAGAGAGAAATTGCCGATTTCTTGCGCAGGTACCGCGAGGCAAAGAAGATAGCCTACCTGAGAAGGGAAAAGAAAGAGAGGTGGGATGAAGGTCGAGTCGGAGGCTGGCGATGATATTCACCTAGCCGTCTCTCGGCTCACACTCCACCCGCAGTGACGCGACCGGCAGTCAACCGCGTGAGCAATATTGCTGTTGCGGTCTCTTCGACCGGCGCTTCCAGGCTCAGTCTTTCGGTCACTCGATACCCGGTATCTGGGAGTCAGCCTGACTGGTTGGACGCTCACCATTATCTTAGTGTTGGAGGATTCTAACGAGTCACTTCCCAGCCGGTGGACCTTCGAACGGCACACCCGTAGGTCTTTCGGTTCTAGGAAAGCCCAGAACGGTGTTATCTACATTGGCCTTAAGATGGGACGCGACCACTCAGCAGAAATCTTGAAGCTTTGCGTGATTGAAGCCATCTAGCATCTGAGCCCATGGTCTCTGGCCAACAGGTCCACTCGCGCTAAGGACTACTTTACTCTTGCCGTGGATTGCGTTGTCGGGAGCCTCAGTTCCAATCCAGTCGCTCCTTCCATGGGCAAAGGGCATAGTGTAGGTTCGTTCTATGTAAACCCTAGTGGAGGGTTGAGGCTGTGGCAACTGTCACGTGACACGGTTGTGGAAGTTGAAGGCACGCTGTATACGTCAGAAAAGCGCTATATAGATATTTCTGTTCATGGGTTCGTAGAAGGAGATCAAGTCGGGCGGTTTTGCGACTCTTACTGCCGAAAGCTTACCGACCCAAGTGCTTATACAGCAAGGCCGGTATGATTTGCTCTATCGTGCAAGCCGAGTAATGATAAATCTGTTTCACAGAACATCTGTACCTAGGTAAAGTACCCTGCACTTGGATGCCATTGAATCTCGAAGCACGGATAAAATGTTCCACCAGACCAAGAACATAAGTTGACCTTAGGTATCAGTCGATAACAATACACGGTGTTGATGGTCTGCCGCTGCATACCACCCACTGGTCGGCCTTGAGTTGAAGTTCGAGTGCTGGTACATGAGCAGTTTCATGGCGTGCCTGAAGTGTCGAAACCCCTGTCTTGCGACAGTCATCGGTAGCTCCAACATCGTCAGACCCCGACCAGAAACTCTTTGGCTGTCTAGGCAAGCGCTCGGCACCCATGAAAGGCTTGCCATGTGCTTGAAGAGGCAGAGTGGCATGCTCTAAAACCGCGACTGGCGCATAGGGCTGGCACAGCGGTTGTTGAACCCGCGCCCCTTGGACCCGAAGTCCTCATTATATTCTGAGATGCGAGTCTCAGATCACAGCCTGTGAGCCCATGTGGCCGACTATAAGGACGGGAGCTTTCCCGCCATGTGGTCATGATGTTTCTGGCGGTTGGTTTCTCAGAGTAACAATACTCGCTCGACCTCAAGTCCTTTTCTCACTCGTTTTACGTTCCTTGCCTCTTCGTTTCTATCTTGTCCCTGGTCGGACTTCTTGCACGTTCTCCAGTATTAATCAGTCCTTTCTCTCCCTTTGCATCAGGCCTGTACCTTTACGTCCTTTCCCACTGTCTCCCATAATAACGCAAGATCATCATGCTCGGGACGATGATGAAATGGATCTGTATTCTCGGACCAGCAGTGGTCGTCCATGCGCTTCCGACTCTGCATACCTATCATGGCTCTCATCTGGGCTCTCGCCAGCAAGCTGCTCCCGGTGGACTGACAGATATCGACATCCTTCAGTTGTAAGTGTTCCCCGAGGATACAACCTTGACGATCCATGACTGACGCAATGTAGCGCGTTGACCTTGGAACATCTGGAAAGCGCCTTCTACAAAGAAGGCTTTGCCAAGTTCCCAGCCAGCGATTTTACCGCGCTCGGCCTCACCGAAGAAGAGATAGCAGCGCTGCAGCAAATAGGACAGACAGAAGCAACGCACGTCTCCATGCTCCTCTCCGCCATTGCTTCGGCCGGTTTCCAGCCCGTCATGCCTTGCAAATACAATTTCGGCTTTACAGACGCCGCGGGCATGGTTGCCACAGCGCGAGTGCTGGAGGCTGTTGGCGTCTCTGCATACCTCGGTGCCGCGCCCTTGCTTAACTCATCGGCAATCCTGTCCACCGCTGCCACGATATTAACCGTCGAGTCTCGGCACCAGACCTTCATCCGAACTGTATCAGGAGCAGAGCCTGTTCCCGCAGCGTTCGATACCCCGCTAGGACCCCGGGGAGTCTTCACGCTGGCTGCACCATTCATCACGGAATGTCCGGCAGGAAGCAATCTTAATGTACCAGCTTTCCCGGCCATTCAACTGTCTACTGGCACCTCGAATATCTCAGCGGGACAGAGTCTAGCGGTGGCCGGAGCCGAGGGATCCTTTTGTGCCTTTGTGAATCAGTAAGTGCAATATGTCCTGCGCCCTTTGTCCGCGCTGTGCTTATAGTCATCGCCAGGGGAGCGACCAAGTTCGTACCGCTCGCTGGGGGAAGCTGCACTGTGCCTCAGGGCCTAGCAGGCGAGGTGTACATGATGATTACGAGCGCTGAGAGGGTTTGCGATGACGTTATTCTTGCTGGGTAAGTTTCGCATGCATTTATGGAATTGTGTCGCAGGGATGTGACGCTAACGATTTGTGCAGACCTTCCGTACTTGAGCTGTCGTAGTACAGGCAGGCCTGCGGCAGGATAATCTAGTGGACAAGGTGCTCTGGCCATGCCATGTGTTAGCAGCGGCGCTGTGTTTTTGTGAACAAATTGCGTGTTCTACCAATTTGAGGATGGAGGCACCGCTATCGCCTTTTGATACCTCTGGGATCTTTTATAGCAACAGTCGACGTCACTCGCAGAGGTAGTGACGAGATCAGAGTCCCTCGGTATAGTTAGTCATCAGATGTTGGAATATTCTCCGCTTTCCCCTACGTTTCGGTTTGGCCGTGGCCGCCAAACCGTCGGAGGCATACTCCAACCTTGAAATGACAGCACAAATAGAGAAACACGATCACGCAAGATTTCCAATCGGTTCGCAGTAAGGACATCACCTTCACATAAAGCGCGGTGATCATGGCGGCGGCAGTTTGCAAGAGATGCTGTTAGCTGTAGCGCGGCCAGTCTGTTAAGTACCACTGGAGAGGCAACAACAAGGCCGTAAATTCTATAATATATCACAGTCGAGATCCAACTCAGAAATGGCCTGGTGAGGGCGCCTTCGCATCATCACCCAGTGCTCTAGGGCCCGGCTGGCCCATAGCCAAACAATGATCACTCCGAAAGGAAGCTGGGTGCGCAGCCCGCCGTCATCCAAGATGGGGCTCACGATATGCTCTCCGCCGCCCGCTGTAGCACCGCCCTACCCGTGCCCATGGCACTGTGCAGTATCTGTCTAACCATTGCCGTGATATCTCTTACGCCCAATCCTTTCTGTCTTGCTCTATATGCGCCCACGAGCGCCGCGACGAATGCAAGAATGCCTGCACCACGGCGTATGCGCTGCTTCAATAGCCCTTGCGGCGTGTATTTGACGTTCCAATCTTCCCACTTAGGGAACATGCACCTACGTGTGAAGTCGATTTGCGTGTATCTGCGGTATTGTCAGCATGCCCATTCTCTCCGCTTTACAGAATGTGGAACGTACGGATAGACAGTAGAGTTCCAACCGTCCTTGGTAAAGTACCAGCTCTGGCACCCCCCACTCATCCAGACGGTACCCTTCAAACTCTGTTGAATTTCCCGCGTATATGCCTGCTCCGCTTCCTGCTTGACGTCGACTGTAGTGACATCACCCGCCAGGATCAGCTTGATAAATTTCAGGCTGTAGTTCACCATGTTCTCAGTAGCCAGGATGACGGAGGAATGGCCCGTTGCTGTGTTGGGTCCGAAAATGATGAAGAAGTTGGGAAATGAATCCATGGCAGTTCCTTGATATGCCTGCGCACCACCGCGCTCATCCATGGTTTCGACAAGGTCCTTTCCATGTGCCCCAACAACCTTGAGTGGGTGTAGCCATTTCGAAGTGTCGAACCCGGATGCCAGCACGATAACATCTGCAGGGACCTCCTTCTCGTCTGTCGGTACCGAGGAATTTCCTTTCAGCGGATTGGGATACGTTCGGCCTGGCCCAAGTGTCACACTGGTCTCCCCGACCCTGGTTAGCGGCTGCGTCGTGAGCTCGATCTTCGGGTCGTTCAGGCTAGGGAACCAAGTCGCATCGAAGATCCTCCTCTTGCATCCAACACCGTAGTCAGGGGTCAACATCTCGTGATACTTTTCCGGCACTGTTTTCTTCAAGTGAGCCATGAGTGCAGCCTCCGTCTTCTTGCGCTCTTTCTCATGATATTCGCTTCCACCGAACAGGCGGAAGTCGTATTCCATTGCTGCGAATAGCAGGGTCCTGAAAAGCTTCAACAGCCCCGGGATGTTGCTCATGAGAGTCGGACCCCATCTCTCCCACCACTGGTCACCGCCTGGCGGCTGCATCCTTGGGACCACCCATGGAGGAGATCGCATGAGCTGTGTGACAGATTTGGCGTTGTAAGGAGCCTTTGTGAGTCTAGGCACAAACTGCGCAGCAGAACAGCCAGTCCCTACCACAACAACATCCTTGTTGGTCATATCCACGCTGTGGTCCCACCGGGCAGAATGGAAGATAGGCCCTTTGAAGTCAGCTTTCCCGATAATCTCATCGGGCCAGCCTCTGGGCTCTACCAAGCCGCCGACAGCCGAGACGACAACCTTGGCCCTGACGACCTCTTTTGAGCTGATCACACTTTTCTCGCCCTCCTCCGCAATCTTGCGCTGGCGATCCTTTGCACTGAGGTCACCCGCACCAGCGACAAGGTGGCGGAGGGTGACTTCCCACAACTGCTCGTTCTCAAGCCAACGGCAACCTTCGACGTCTGTGTTACATTGGACCTTGTCCGTGATTTCATACTTCCCACATACTCCCTCGAGATACTTAACAATCTCATGGCCAGGCGGGAAGAACGAGGTCCAGCGCGGGTTCGGCGCAAAGGAGAAGCTGTAGAAGACGGCAGGTCTGCAAAAGCGTTAATGTGTGACCTTCTTGGCTGTTGTGTTAACATACACATCGCAAGCCACGCCTGGATATTGGTTGATCCACCACGTCCCACCTATGCCGGCCTGCCGTTCGAAGATGCGGAATTGGTCAAACCCAAGTACTTCTTTGAGACGTGCGCCCATGGCGATGCCGGACTCCCCGGCCCCGACGATAACGACGGGGTAGTAGGTGTAGGCATTCTTTCCGTAGCCGCCAAAATGGCGGATTCTCTCCCGATGGGGCATGTTGCCAGACAGGAATGGTAGTATTGATGCTTGTACGAGATGCTGTTGGGAAAGCAGGCAGAGAGACAAGCAGGTAAAGTGGAAAGGAGGCGCAGATATACCGATAACAGTGCAAGTAAGGCAAAAGCCGTAGATGAGCGCAGCGAAGAGGATTCCGGATAAGTGCCTGGTGGTAGGTACAATAGCAAAGCCGATTCCGGCCGCAACGGCTGACTCGCTTGGGGCCAATATGCGCAAGGACTTGAGGTGAGTCAGGAGGATAGAGAGATTTCAAAAGGAACCCTGAGGTCTGTGGGGTATGCTGACACTGCTGATTAGTTGAATTCTATGGCTGATCTTTTGCACAGTGTGCCTCACGATCTCAGTGATACATACGTTAGGATGGTGATGATGCCGAGGCTATCCGGCAAACCTACCTTAAACCTGCCTTCCAGAGCTGCTGGGCAAGCAAGCATGGCGTCCTGTAGGGCAACTCATCCGATATCTGCTCCGCCTGAGTGTGCATGTCCCCCCCACATCCCTCCCCGCAACTCCCTGCGGCTCTCCCCGGACGCCAATACCAAGATTACCTAGGTACTCTATTCCGAACGCCTTCCTCTCCAGCAAATAGAAACAACACCCGAACAACACCATGACAGCAATGTCTCCTATCGCCATTGGAGAAGCAAGCGCATCGCCCTCAGCCGAGAGCCCAGACGGACACTCGACCACAAAGCGGAAGAACGAGGAGCGCCCGCCGCAGACCCGGACCAAACGCAACCGGTATACCTCAATCGCTTGGTATGCGCTCCAGCATAAGTGAAGAGAGTTATGGGAGAAGTGCACATCTAATCGGTGCACAGCAACGAATGTAAACGACGGAAGATCAAGTGCAACGGCCAAACCCCATGCGCACGATGCGGCACTATGCAGCTGGAGTGTCTTTACGCCCCTACTTGCTGCAACAGCAACTTCAGGGATTCAGAGTACGACGTCCTGCTCAACAGGTTGACAAAAGCTTAATGCTTGCAGGGACTTCAAAAGTATGAGCGCACACATAGCCTCTCTACAAGAACAAGTGGACGCTCTTTATGCCGGCCTTACTTCTCTACGCCAACAAGTTGATACCGCAATCCCACCGGTTGGCGACCCATCATTCTCGGGACCGAGCAACCCTTACCCCATGGCTATTCCTCAGAACCCGGTCATACCGACATCCCCAGCCCCCGATCGGAGGCAGTCGCACCGCCTGCCCAGGTTTCAGGGCCCAACGAGCTCGGCCTTCAATCTCGGCGTAGCAAAGTCCAGCCTGCAGACAATGGGCATCACAAGCCCGGGGGAAGACGTGGAGGAAGCTCTGGCGACTCAAGACGCGACGCCAGCTGCCAGCCCGCCCCTGTCGAGCACTTTACGCCTCGATCCGAGCTTGCACGCTGACAAGGATCCTCTGTGGTCGTTGACGAGAGAGGAGACCGCACGGCTCTGTCATGTCTGGGACGACGAGATGGGCCATATGTACCCGATAGTGGATATCAACGAGATTATTCGGCATGCACAGCGGCTCTATACTTTCATGGAAGCAGCGAGGAGGACTGGACTCATCCAGGCGGCTATGCCGGGTGCAGATGCCATCGGGGATGAACAGACTAGCATGCTGAGGCTGATATTGGCCATTGCGCTAACCGTGGAAGGATCCGGTAAAAGCGAGTTGGGCAAGAGACTGTGTGAGACTGACACGCGTACGCAGCTGCTTGCGCCAGTGGACCTGGATGGAATCAGGATGCTGGTGCTCACTGTGAGCAACTCTGTACCTACCATCAGTCGACTGCTGACCCTCTCTTCAGGCCATGTACCACTTCCATCGTGACGACGAGAGTATGGCGTGGCGTGTTTTGGGTTTTGCGGCGCGATTGTGTATGGAACTTGGCCTGCACCGTCGGGAGACCTATAGCACCATGTTCACCGATGATGAGGAACGTCAGCACGCCATCAGGCTCTTTTGGTCCATCTACGTACTTGACCGTCGGTGGAGCTTTGGAACGGGCTTGCCATTCGCGCTGCAAGACGCAGATATCGATTTACTGCTGCCGAAACCGGTACGTCTTGTAGCATGCATCGTGAACACCGGGCTGTTCGACTGACACAATCGCAGAATGACGCTACTCCCTACCTGACATCGATGGTCGCCTACAGTCAAATTGGCTCTAAGGTATGGAAATCTATTGCTAAGGGATCTTCCTTGCATACGCAAATCTCCGAGTCAGAGATGGGCTTTCTCGACTACCAAGTCGTGCAATGGCACCGCAACATTCCCGACTCTCTTAAATACACTGGCGGACAGTCGCTCGAGCCGACTGATAAAGCTCTGCGCCGCCTAAGCATACTACTGTACCTTCGCGCTAATCAGATGCGGATCCTCATCTACCGCCCGGTGCTGCACACGGCAGCAAGGATTGTGGAGAGCCCGGGCTTCGCGCAAACAGTGGTGGACGTGGCCAAAGACACAGTACGCGTCCTAACGCACACAAATCAAACCTCGGACATATACCGCACGCAGCAAGTGTGCTTCCACTACTTTTTGATCTCTGCCCTGGCGGTGCTATTCCTTGCCGTTTCACACGCACCAGCACAGTTCTCGGATATCTGCCGCGATGAGTTCTACATGGCGCTCGAGCTCGTGCGTGGTCTTTCCGCAGACAGCTACGTGAGCAAGAGGCTATGGCGGAGTCTTCGGCAGCTCAAGGACGTGGGACCTAAGATTGGACTGAAAGTAGGCAGCGGCAACCTTGATGCTCACGACGCCCACTCGAACGCTGCAGTCGCTATGGCGGGACTGGCAGGCCACCAGGTCGACGAGACGACTATCTTCCACACGCAAACCAATAACGGCGGTTATTATCAGCTGGGCAACAGCCCAAACGGCATGGCGGACGATCTCACGACGCTTTTTGAGGCTGCGGGAGGGTTCTCTGTTTCAAATCCGTCGTATTTGGTGCCGAACGGCTATGCGGGCGACTGGAACATGGCTACGGGGGCTGGCGCGGGAACAGATATCTGGCAAGGCTGGCTAGGAGGGGAGGACGGGCTGAGCGGCCTCATGAGTAGTCTGTTCTAGTGCTGTTTCGAGTGCGTGTAGTGTTCCAGCAACAGCGCAGAGATCGTTCCAATATCCCATTGCCGCATCAGGAGCGATTCGTGAACATCAAGGTGGATGACCCACACGCAGTACGTAGATCGAAGACATTCCAGGTGATCGATGCTCTAAAGCAGCATGCTGCTGAGAAACTGAGCGGCCTTGGTGTCTTCAGTCCATCATCGAGCGACACAAGCGCTGTAGCAACAAGTGCAGCTGAGAGATATCGGGGATGTAGAGCAGAGATGGGGATCTGTCGCCAAGTTGAGGCTTTGAGGGAAACCTGATGGCGGGGCGCTGTGCTTGTCCCACCATCACCGCCAAACCGCCAAACCGCCAAACACCACATCACCGCACCCAATATTCGCCCAATATTCGCCAGGCCGAGAGCGACGCTGCCCCCAACCCTCCCTGATGGAGGATTAGAATCTCTCCCCCAATGAAGCACCGCAGCCGTCCTCCATAGTCCGGCCTCAGCCTCAGACCCCGTCCTTCATGACCCACTGCAGTCAGTGACCGCAACTACCGCAAACACCACAAGCATCGCACCTTCTTCCGCCGTTCACCTTGGGTTTCGCACCTGCCTGCACGGCTTGCTTTGGACTCGTCCGACACTGACGTTGCCATCCCCTCGAACCAAGCACCGCTATCGACTTCGCAGCGCCTGCATTCCGTGTCCCACACCTTATACCAATATCAGCTTCCTACCTCCTTAACCAACAAGCCAAATCGCCAACGTCTGCCTTGCGCTTAGCCCGGCGCTCCAGGCACCGCCAACGCTGCCATGTCGTCCTCATCTGGTGTGGCCGAGTCATGGATCGCATCCTTCTGCAACATCCTCGGCCACGAATATTTCGCCGAAGTATCCGAGGACTTCATCGAAGACGATTTCAATCTCACCGGCCTCCAGTCCCAGGTGCCCATGTACAAAGAGGCGCTCGAGATGATCCTGGATGTTGAGCCCGAGGACGATGAAGACGAAGAGGACGAGGAAGAGCAGGATGAGGAGGAAGAGGAGGACGATGTACTAGGGGACGACAAGACCGGTGGATACAGGAGGGGCGCTGGCGACAGGAGACACCTGCGGATGGCGAGCGATCTAAGCGTGATAGAGAGCAGTGCAGAGCTGCTGTATGGTCTGATACATCAGCGTTACATCACGAGCCGCCCTGGGATCCAGCAAATGGCGGAAAAGTACGACCTCGGCCATTTCGGAATATGCCCGCGGGTGCATTGCTGCGGTGCAAAGGTCCTACCCGTTGGATGCTCAGACACGCCGGGACAGGAGACAGTCAAGCTATTCTGTCCAAGCTGCTTAGATGTATATACGCCGCCGAACAGCAGATTTCAGACAGTGGACGGCGCGTTCTTCGGCACAACATTTGGATGTCTGTTCTTCATGACGTTTCCGGAGCTTGAAATCGGGAGGCCGAGACCGGATGCTCCGTCCACGGCCAACCCGGAGGCAGCTGAGCCCATGGCCACGTCGTCGAAACCGGGCTCAACCACATCGACACCTACGCCGCAGCCGGCTTTGATCAACGGAGTGACGCCGTCAAATCTCGCCCCGGGCTTGGGCCTGGGTAACATCTACGAACCAAGGATATACGGGTTTAGGGTGTCTGAAAGAGCGCGATCAGGCCCGAGGATGAAATGGTTACGGATGAGACCAACAGATGTTAACGAGTTGGACGAGTGTAGGAGATTCTACGAAGAGCATGCTGAAGAGGGGGTGGGCGTACCGGAGGAGGACCAAACGATGGTGGATGTAGAAGGACGGGCACAACCAACTCCAGAGAGGAAGAAGAAAGTGCCAAGGAGGAGGAGAACAACGGCGCCAAACGGGGGCGTGAGTCCGATGGATACGAATGGTGTCGGAGAGGGCGGGGGATGATCAGGCAAGGAACGATGGGTCGCCATGGGTACTTGGATCAAACGGTCTCGCTCCTGGGTCGAGGGAAAGGATAGGAGCATTACGGGCGTCTTACGGTGTCTATCGTTCCAGGCTACGGCTGTCTTACTGTCCGCCTAGCGGCAATTGAGCAAGCTATCTCAGTGTCTTAGCATTTCACGCCAATGCCCGCCGTCTGTCAGCCCGGCTCTGTTGCATGCGGTCATCTCTAAACATCAGGTGTCATGAGTTAATGTGCTGTGATATGCGGCAGCTCACTCTCGTTGCCTAAATACGTACTTGTGAACTATGCCATGCCGTAGCGACGGACCAAGAAACGCTTACCACACTTGTTGCTTTCGATCAGCTAACTACGCCGCCAAGCTCGTCAGCGGTTGGAAGTGTCAGCTATCGATTTATCTTGAACTAAACTAAGCCTTCCGCACGCGGAGTTACCAATGATCAAGCTCATCTCAAGCTGAACAGAAACTCCCGCGTCCAGATTAGAGCTGCTCAAGCTTGACCGCTGTGTCTACGGCTTGACATCATCTGCAACTGCCTGACTACCTTGCCGAGCTTGAATCAACCTCATTACCATCGCCTCCCAAGATACGATAATCCGCCAACCTAAATAGTCATAATAATGCCAGGTACCGTTGCCAGCTTCAGAGCTACCGATGTACATTGTCCTTACCTCGCTCTAGGCGCATCGCTGTGGCTCGTCCCTCCCTCGTCCTCACCCATCTATTTCCATCTCTCTTACCTCGTAGCTCGTGACATTCCTTCCAAATTTCCTGGTCTCTCTACGCCGTTCTTCATCCCTCATGTCACTTTGACCTCCGGTGTACCCACAGACCTCGGCGATGCCGAAGCTTTCTTAGACAAGCTTTCAATCCCGGCCACCAACGAAGTGGCCATCACATTCGAAGCATTGGACATTGGCGGTGAGCTCGTCAAAAAATGTACCCTACGCGTTACGAAGAGCCCGAGCCTCGAAGCTCTAGCCAAAGAGTGCAGGCGTGTGGGAGTCGAGCAGGGTGATGAGGAAAAGGCAGAGAAGTGGGTCAAGGAGGAGTATGGACCGCATTGTAGCTTGATGTATGCGGACATCGATGTTTCAGAACAGCAGAAAAAGAGTTTGGAGGATGCTGTTACGAAGAGGGGGCTTAATTTCCATCAGGAAGGAGAGTTGGCGGGCTGGAAGGGTGGCGAGGTGTGGCTTGTGGACACGTCGAAGGGGTTCGAGAGTTGGGCACCCGTTGCTGTGAGGAAACTCTGATCGGCCGTTGGAAGTTGCAACGCCCGTGATTGAACTGTATTTCGGCCCAGTATTGGAACAAAGACTTGAGGAAGTCGCCACGTCATGAATCCTGTGATCCGCGCGCTACTACTCAGGCGCACAAAGAAAGGAACCCGATGGAGGCGTCAGCCTAACCCACATCTTCAGGCGACATCATCCACGGGACAGATGGTGCTACTCAAGTCTTTACAGCAGCATTAAGACACTGACGGCTGTGCAGGTGCGTAATGTTCGACACAAAGCGGTCGAATATCTTCACCATCGAACGGGATCAGAGACCTTCTTAGTCTACCATCCGTGCTGGAGAGTACATAAACACGTATGCTGCAAGTCCGAAGAATCATTAGTGTTGAAGACATGGGACGGCAACTACGGAAGTTTAGACAGCGCCTACGACTACTTCTATACATCCTACGCATATTGCTCTCTTTCTTCCCTTAGTTGCCCGTCGCAGTTGCGATCCTCATATCCTCCTCTAGTGTATTCAGATTTAATCGGAAATCTCCTACCCCTCAGAACACTGTCAATGATGACTTTGACCGAGCCCGGAAGTGGTAGCGTAAGACGTAGTGTGACCGCTATACCACTCCAACCATCGTCTCACACTCTCGTAGGCTACTGCATGGATACGATCGATAGCTTGCCTTTCCACGGGCTTGCCATGATTGCCGTGAATCCTTATCAGGCGGGAAATCAGCATTCGGAGAGGTGTAAGGCGATCAGGCAAGGGTTTCTCAAGAAGACTTCAAGTAACAAATGCTTGTTGGCGGTTAGAAAAGTATTGCTATCGTGTTCCACTGCCATCCTTCGACGGTCTTGCTGCCGTCACGTACCGAATTCAAGAGCTGCCTCATCTGTCCCCCTTGACTGTAAGAAGCGTCTAGCAGACAGCGTCATCCACTGCTAAGCCTTTTCAACTCACAAGTGTGGAATACACCGTTGCCTAGTTTTGGGAAGGATACAATAAGTCTATTCCAGCCCAACATCCAATAGCAAGGCCATTGTGTTGGTACCAGTAAGAATTTTGAAACCAAATGTCAAAAGTGATATGCCGCTCGCTCGCTCAGGTACCAAGTACATCAGTGTCCCTCTCACATGTTGTAGCTCCAAGGACACGCCCCCTGTCCGCGACCCCACCGACATGCCATAGGTACTTCAAACAGCGGTAGGGTCGGTCTTTGCCCTTTTCGCTTCCGGTAACTCATCAGACCCCTGTGTCGCGCGTTAGCAACTCCAAATTTCCCGCCAGTACGCATTGGGTGCTCACATCATCGGCCTTCCTCTTCCTCCCTCCAGCTGGGGCCACACCATCTGCAACCGATGGTCGAGGCGCCGTACCCGCCTCAGCCTTCATCTTCAGTAGGCTTGCCGCAGGAGCGCCGACAATGTTTCTGTCGCCGACGATAGTAATGCCACAGTTGATGTTGAGATGCACGTCTCCTCGTCGAGATGTACGCGCGGAGCTAGCGTTGAGTGCACCCAGTACGACAGCTACTAGTCGCGCGGGGTCGCTGTGTGAGAGAGCGATGAGATTGTATGAGCCCTGGATGTTCGTCGATGCATTGATCGTAATGTTTGTTGACGGCTCGCAATCGTCCTCCTCATCTTCCGGGTCAGATGAGAGGTCCGGATGCGCGGTATACGCCGGCGGGGGCTCTAGAGTTGGCACCGTTGTGGGTTGGTGGTTTGCTGCGGCTGCTGCTGCCGATTTGCTAAGGATGTGGAGGAGGGATTCCATAGCGGGAGAGGCGATACGGACAGGGAGATGATGGAAGGGAGTAGTAAGAGATGTTCGAGGTGGCAGAACAAAAGTATTGGCCGCTTTGCAACTGCCGTAAGATAGGCGTGCCAACGCAGGATGTACGGAGCCTTAAAACCCGGAGTGAGTTTGAAGGAGATAGAGACCGTTCGTACAGAGTGCGCAGTTGCTAGGAAGATATACAACCAGCCCACACGCATAGGATTCCGCGCCCAAGGGGGACGAGGAGGATGAATCAGTCCATCAATAGGATGGTGCATGCCTGCAGACCAACCACCTAGCAGCAGAAAGCACCTGGGTAGCACAATCCCTATCATCACTCAGCTTACCCATGGTACGTTGCACAACCGTGCTTGCATTGCTATTGTCAGAGCAAAGCGCTATTGACGGGCTTCGTGCGTGACAGGGCAATGCGGGGTTGGAATGCACGATTGATACGACTATCCGCAGACCTACTGCTCAATTGGGGAGGCAATAGCAGCCGCTTAGACTCACTCGGTCAATTGTCCTGCTTTTCCGTGTCGTTGGTGGAGTGATTGTTCTATTGAGGGGCTGGGGGATCGTTTTGCTATTGTTCTTCACATTGAGCTTAGCGCCGGGTCAACGACTGCGGCACGTGACTTGGGATGTCACGTGTATACCTCCACACCGGTTTGGGGAGATGCGGCTCCGCGGCTTGGCAGGCACGGACTTGACCGGAGCTTGACGTCACTCATACGATGCCAGGGCAGTCACGCAAACACGGCTCCAAAGTAACCTTTCGTCCATAACCTTCTCCGTTCCCCTTCAATCAGGTCCCAGCACAGATACACCTTCATCTCCAGTCCTCACGCAGTCTACAACTCGCAAAGAGCTTTTGCAATGGACGTAAGGGCATCTCTCAATCCAGTTCGCACGGGCTCCAACTGACAAAAGAGCTCCAGGTCTTCTACTCCTACACCTATGGCACCGCAGCATGGCTTGCTCTCCAAGCCGTTCCTCTGATCGTCTCGCCTACGGTTATAGTGACGCTGCTGTCGCCCGCGGTCCGCGAGGCAACCAGTGAGTGCATGCCAGTCAACAAACGAAAGATTCGTCTGACACTGGTCCAAGCTCTTGAAGTCTACTTCAGCCGCAGCCTTGGGTTCACCTTGCTTGCCCTCGGCGTGCTCAATCTTCTCCTGACTGGATCCATTCCGCTCACCTCCAGGCTCACCGACAGTATGTGATTAAACTGACGGAGACGCTACTCGAGTCAAAGCAACATACTGAGTCAACTTAGCAGCAAGCGGTGGTGTAACGACCGACCCAGATGATCCGAAGGCACCGTATGCTATGCCAAGCCTCAGCGTGACTCTCGCCTATCATGCAGCGGTCGCCTTCTACTGCTATGCTATGTGGACCCAAACGGGCGTTACTTCCTTCGCGTTTGGCACCGTCTTCAGCGGCGTGCTTTCAGCGATCGGTCTCTGGTGCGTACTGTTCGCCAGCAGTGATGGGCGCATTAGCAGAAAGACAGGTGCGGACAAGAGGACGAGCGGCTTCCCCTTCAAGAACTCCGAGGCACACTCAGACAAGAAGAAGGCCATGAAGAAGGGGTTGTGAGCGTCTCGCGTGAGGTTCGCATGCCAAAATAAATGAGGGTTGCAGTATAGTAAAAGGACGCGGCGAGACACTCGAAACACAGTGGTGAAAACACACTCATTGGAGTTTCTCCTCGACAGAATTGAAAATGACCACATTAGGATACGTCATTGGCCTTGGGATGTAGGCCATAGCATACAGCGATAACGATAGTGCCGGGAAGAAGAAAATTATCAGCTAGCTGGGTAGCTATCCACTTCTATGACTGGCTTTTGTAAAACATTGCTATGATTCTGAGAGCAAGATAACATTTGCCGAGCAGCATCGCGGCCGGTAAACTAGCACTATACATCTAGACAATCCCGTGCGAGATCAATATCCCCACACTAACAATTGATTCACACATTGGTAATCACCTTGATTCGGAGGAGGTAACATAGATGTGTTGTGCTTTTTCTACACTTGCATGTGGACACATCTGTTTATGACAGTATGCTCAAATGCTCTACTACTAAAGTTGCCAGAAAGATACTCAAGCCGCGAAAGCAATACGAGCGCTCCTCGCTGTCTATCTCTACGCTGAGAATGCCCTACTGCTTGAACATGGCCAACAGGACTGTGGGCTCAGCCAAGCCCAACAATACGCGCAGATATCGAACAACAAACAGCGCCTCAACCAACATTATCTCCCCTTGTTACATCTAACCGCTGAACTCCTTGACATCGGACGTCTTTCCGCTGAGGGCCAGTGGGACAATGCCACTGACGTGCATCTCCGGGCCGTAGACATGCATGTCGAGCTCAAGCTCCTGTCCGACCGCCTTGATACTTTTGAGGCCCTCTTGGTAGTTGGGACCGGCACGGCGGACCCAGATCTGGACCTTATGCTCGCTGAGCAGAGGCGCGACTTCCCGCAGAGCGCGGATAACACCCTTGAATGTGGAGGCGACCTAAACGATGTCAGGAATGATGCGAAGGAGTTCGGCAGTGTACTTACATTAGTAAAGTTGGCAATACCACCGCCGATAAAGAGGACCTTGCCCTCCGGGCGCTGAGGTGCACGAAGCATAAGGTCCAGGACTGTGCGGGCATAGTTGAAAGTCTGGCTCTCGTTGGGAGCGCCGGAATACTCGCCGTAGTTGGCAAGCTCGCCCGCGAAACCAGCAGATGCGATGGCATCGGCGTAGACGACGGAAGCACCACCACCAGCGACAAGGGTCCATATGCGACCGTTGCCGTTGAGGATGGTAAGCTTGAGCGACGCGCCGGTCTTCGCGTCCATCTCAGCGATGTAAGTCTCTTCCTTGCTCATTTCTCGACCGAAGGGCGCAGGGAACTCCATTGGTGGGCCGGCATCGATGGTGACCTTGGCATCCTTGGATGCGACTGTGGGTATACCAAGGGCAGTCGCACTGCGAGCAATGGCCCACTTCACACCGCACTCGAACTCGGCGGTCTGGTCTAGCTTGGCAGCAAGATCAAGGAAGTGTACTTCAGCTGAGGTGGCGTCGGCGTTTGGGATGACGACGAGAGGGTTTATTTCGAGATAGCTGCATCGCATTGTCAGTGTACTGCAACGACGAAAGCGACCTGAAGGAGAACTACATACGTGAATTGGCAATCGACATAGACGGCGTACAGTCTCGAGATGAAATCTACGAGCACGTTGTGAACGCCCTCTGGGACCTTCTTCAAGAGTGTGGCAGCAATCTCCTCGTTGGAGGGATATTCGCTAAGGTCGACCGGGATGAGAAGCTTTTCAGCCTTCGCATCAACATCACCAACATCGACACCACCCTCGTGCGTGAACAGAATCCAGTCACCCTAGAGCAGTAGCGTTAGTTGGTGTTCAAGCACGTGAAAGCTGCAGAACGGCAGGGCGGGACGACGCCACCAGATGTTGCGCAAGCGAGACGGCTCGGGGCGAAGAACGGCAAGTGGCTGCGAAACAGGGGTAAAACCGAGTAAGGACTGGAACCGTATATGCAGGCACAGGACGAACTGAACCGCTAGGCTGTGGGCCGTGGGCTGAAGTGGGCCTGCTCTTGCGCGTTCCTCCCTTCGCCCGTGGTGGAACGCTCGGGCCCGGTACGAGCTTGTCGACAAAACTCCAGACTCGCCCATCCACGAAGAGCGAACAACCCGGGATAACAACTCTCGGCCAACCACCAAAACAGTCCCTTGCAGAACTGGCTCATCGGTCTCTTGGGAGAGAAAGTGCTCGACAACACAAACACAATAAACAAAAAAAGAAAGGCTGACATACCTCTCGTACGGAGTTGATGTTGATATAGTACTCAGTATCAGAAGGGTGAGGCACGAATGGCTCCACGAGGAATTGCCTCAGGACACCGTCTACCGTCTCAACCCTCTGCGACTTGCCCGCCCTGGCTTCGATCCACTCCCTAGCCTCTGGCCAGGTCTTGTTCAGCGCCAGCAAGCCGCTCTTTCCTCGTCGCTTTATCAACTGATCTGGCTTTGCAACAAACCTTGAGTCTCGCGCAAGGAGCCACGGGTATGTCACCTCCGCTTGGTCCAAGACGTCCTTGACCGCCGCATCTGCTGGAAAGTGTAGAGACGCGAGGCGAGGTGCCGGGTTGTGGGTCGCTGCTTGAGGAAGAGGAGTCGGCTTGATGACGGGAGCGCGAGTGAGGTGGTAGTTGAGGATGGCCTTGCCGTCGGCCTCGAGAATCGATTTTGCGGACATGATGTATGAGAAAAAGCGGTGTCAAGAGTTCTACTGAGAGGAGGAGTAAGTGGCCGTTGCTTGCAATCCGAAGGGATTCTGCTAATGAAATGCTGGAGAGCCCGTAGCAAGAAGTTGGAGCTCTGAAAGACACTCAATGCTGGGCACGAAAGCGGATCTGGCAAATGGTGACCCAACGACAGTAATCTACGGGAAATTGATCCAAGGCACCGAATTTAGAAAGTCCGGCAGCTCGGACGACTTAGTCAATCGATTGCCGGCTTCAACATGACCACAGTTACGGGATCCGAAAATGGAGCTGTGGCTTACCTCGAGCGGTGTATGACAAGAGAATGGACGGACGATGGAATGCGAGGGGATGCGGACGGAGGGTGCGAGGAAGTTTGGAGTGAGAAGTGAGATGATGCTGACGGCGTGCAGTGGCAGCAGAGTTTGGCAGTCGAGGATTTGAAGTCTTGCGAGTCGTGCAGGGCGCCTTCAGTTGGAACGGGGCTGCTCGAGCTTCGTTTTGGTGAGGTGAGAGTCCCTGACGGCTGGGGGGCCTAGTGCGGATTTAGCGAGCGGTGTTGAACAGGCCGCCTGCATGCGGAGGAGAGGTTGAGCTCCAGCGTGCCTGACGGAGTGGCGCACGGAGCCTCCCACGCCTCCCAACTCGCAGGGCTGCTCTCTGGGCTGCTCTCTGGGCTGCTCTCTGGGCTGCTCTCTGGCCTGCTCTCTGGCCTGCTCTCTTGGGCCTTTCTCTGATCAAAGAGGACCGCCGTCCATGCCGTTCACGCCCGTCTACGCCCCCGCAACACCCACCCTGCGCACTCGACCACTGTGCGAGCTGCTGGTTATCCGCTTTCCGGACATCGCAGGAACAAGCGCCTGCCATCGTCGCCGATCGACCTTCTGCTGCGCTTCTATTTCCTGCAGCATTCTTTCAACGGTCCGGCACTGCTGCGTCAAAGGCTGTGGATTTCGCACCCCGGCTCCCCAATCGACCGGCAGCTTTGAACAAAGGTCGGCTGCCAATCGAGCGCCGCGCTAGCACCGAGCCCCCCCGGCGACCGACCCACGAACGCCCAACAGCTTTCCCGCAGACCCCTGCAGTGTCAGCCTTCGGCCTCCGTGCACTGCAGGCCAGCATCAGCAACCCGCGCACCCACCGCTCAACACCGGAACCAACCCAAATCTTCAAAGCCGCTCTCACCACAACCGTCCGTCCACTCTGCCTCACTAATTACACAACTCGCGCCTCCTCATCTTCAGCAACCGCTTTTCTGCTCCTTCTGCTCCCTCTGCACCCACCTCTCGCGCTCCAGCTCTGCACCCATCTCGAACAGCGCAGTCTCTTTGTTAGTCTCTCACTCACATTCTTCATCCACCGCCAAAACACCAGCTGCCGAGCTCCATCTGGCCAGCTTCCTCGGCTGCAGCACCTACAGCCCGTAGCTCCGGCATTGCCCTGACTGAGTGCCTCAATCGCTGACAGACAACTGCCAGAACACTCTATCTCCTGATTGATACCCACTCCTTAGACCATAATGCCTTCAGCTGTCCCTTCTGCGCCCGTCAACGGCACCACGAGCCTGGGTGCTCCGGATCACAACGGCGTCAACGGCACGAATGGCGTCCACGATGCTCCTTCTGCCGACGACAACATCCGCCGCTTCGCAGCACCCAGCCGGCCATTGAGCCCACCGGCTGCGCATATGCTCTTCCACAACAAGACAAGATGCTTTGTGTACGGCCTGCAACCGAAAGCTGTGCAGGGCATGCTCGACTTCGACTTCATCTGCAAACGCAAGACTCCCTCCGTTGCCGGCATCATCTACACATTTGGCGGCCAGTTCGTCAGCAAGATGTACTGGGGAACGAGCGAGACTCTGCTCCCAGTCTACCAGTCGACCGAGAAGGCCATGGCCAAGCACACAGACGTTGACACTATTGTCAACTTCGCTTCGTCGCGTAGTGTGTACAGCTCCACCATGGAGCTCATGGAATTTCCCCAGATCAGGTCCATTGCCATCATTGCTGAGGGTGTTCCGGAACGCGTAAGTGACGGTTCCAGGATTTGGCCGAGGACGCGCTGACGAAATATTCTAGCGTGCCCGAGAGATTCTGCACGTCGCCAAGAAGAAGGGTATCACCATCATCGGCCCGGCCACTGTCGGTGGTATCAAGCCCGGCGATTTCAAGATCGGCAACACTGGCGGTATGATGGACAATATTGTGGCTTCCAAGCTCTACCGCCCAGGTTCGGTTGCATACGTGTCCAAGTCCGGTGGCATGTCCAACGAACTGAACAACATCATCGCCCACAGGACAGACGGAGTGTACGAAGGTGTTGCCATTGGCGGTGACAGATACCCGGGCACTACCTTCATCGATCACATGCTGCGATACCAGGCCGATCCCGCGTGCAAGATTCTCCTGTTGCTCGGTGAAGTCGGTGGCGTGGAAGAGTACAGGGTCATTGAGGCCGTTAAGTCCGGACAGATCACCAAGCCTATCGTTGCCTGGGCGATCGGCACTGTCGCTGGCTTGCTCAAGACCGAGGTTCAGTTCGGTCATGCTGGTTCCTTCGCCAACTCTCAGCTCGAGACTGCCGCGATGAAGAACAAGTCGATGAAAGAGGTCGGCATTTTCGTCCCGGACACTTTCGAGGAGATGCCCGATTTGCTCGCCGAGGTCTACCAGAAGCTCGTCAAGGATGGAACGATTGTCCCCAAGACGGAGCCAGTGGTGCCAAAGATTCCTATCGACTACTCGTGGGCGCAAGAGCTCGGCCTCGTCCGAAAGCCTGCCGCTTTCATCTCCACCATCTCCGACGACCGTGGCCAGGAGCTGCTCTACGCTGGTATGCCAATCTCGGAAGTATTCAAGGACAACATCGGGATTGGTGGTGTCATGTCTCTGCTTTGGTTCCGTCGCCGCCTGCCCGACTACGCCAGCCGCTTCCTAGAGATGGTTCTGATGTTGACCGCCGATCACGGCCCTGCAGTATCCGGTGCCATGAACACTATCATCACCACCCGTGCCGGCAAGGATCTCATCAGTGCCCTCGTCAGCGGTTTGTTGACCATTGGCTCGCGATTTGGTGGTGCGCTCGATGGGGCTGCGGAGGAGTTCACCAAGGCTTTCGACAAGGGTCTCAGCCCGCGCAACTTTGTTGACACCATGAGGAAGGAGAACAAACTCAGTAAGCGATGAAAGGATTGAAACTCAGGCCGTGAAACTAACAGGTGACAGTTCCGGGCATCGGCCACAGAGTCAAGTCCCGAAACAATCCCGATCTGCGTGTTGAGCTCGTCAAGGAGTTCGTGCAGAAGAACTTCCCCAGCTGCAAGATGCTGGACTACGCGCTTGCCGTTGAGACGGTGACCACGTCAAAGAAGGACAACCTCATCCTCAACGTTGACGGCTGCATAGCCGTGTGCTTCGTCGACCTGCTCCGCAACTGCGGCGCATTTACCCCAGAGGAGGCCGAGGACTACCTGAGGATGGGCGTGCTCAACGGTCTGTTTGTGCTCGGAAGGAGTATTGGGTTGATCGCCCATTTCTTGGACCAGAAGCGGCTGAGAACCGGCCTGTACCGACGTGAGTACTCTGCTGGCAATATCTACTTGGATGTAGCTAACGTGCCGCAAAAGATCCCTGGGACGATATCACGTATCTGCTACCAAACCTCGGCAGTGGCGCACCGGGAAGTGAGGGCAGAGTCGAGGTGCAAATGTGAGGAAAGTTGGTGCGTTCGCGATGAGATAGAATATTGGTGGAGGTTTCTATGTGGGAAGCGGGATTTGCTTGGGCGTGCCACGGGCAATTTTCAAGGTGTAGCGGTACAGAAAGCATGGAGGTTTTCAAGCTTATCGTACAATTCGCAACCATCGCAGCATCTTGTACACCTACCTATTATTAGCCTACTTTTAGCTGTTTTCTCTAAGCGTATACTATTGTGCTTTCGTAATAGTATATTCACTCTACACGTGTAGAGTTAATAGAATAATACTCTACTAGAATAGACGTAAATTAATTTACTACTCAGGGACTTAACTGAAACTCTAAGTACTTTAAGTATATAGTAGCGGAAGTTTTTATTAGATTTAGTATATTAGATCTATCTCTAAGAGCTTAACTATACTAAGCTTATATTTAATTTATAAGTTACTTATAAAGTTCTAGATATTCTAGATATTTTAGAAAGTTTAAATAATTTAGATAATTTAGATATCTAAAGTATTTAAAGCACTTAGAGTCTTTAAATATACTTATAAGCCTCTTAGTAGAAGTAAGAGTTACTTAGAGTCTTAAAGTACTTAAAAGATTCTTAAAGTACTTTAAAAGACTTTAAAATAAAAAAGATTCTCTAATTTAATAAATATATTAGATACTTTAAAGCTATACTAGACTACTTAGTAAGTAGAATCTTTAGAGTTATAAGAAGAACTTTATACTCTTATTACAAAAGTTGCTAGTTGTATTAAATATTAGTAAATTAGTTTATATAAGCTATTTAATTAGTACTATACTATACTAGATATGCTTGTTTTATACTAAAACGGTTTCTAGTATTCTTAAAAAATACTCTCTAAGGTGGACTCGAACTACAGACCTTCTATAGGGTAAAAAAAAGAGTAAAGAATGTAGTGTAGGTTAAATTTCACTATAAGCGTATATTGCATATTCTTAAAAAGTACTTTTTAGGGTGGACTCGAACTATAGACCTTCTATAAGGTAAAGAAAAGAGTAAAGAATATAGTGTAGGCAGAATTCTACTATAAGTGTTAGTAACCTGAATTCCCTTAGCAGGATCTACAGGCTAGTGGGTTAATGTATCCACGTGAGTAGCTAGTAGCTCGACAGCGTCGAGCTAGGCAATTACTAGTAGTAAGATATATTCTATAGCAGCCGAGGAATAGTATCTAGTATTATCTATAAAGACTAAAGCCTACCGTCTATTAGACGGTGGGCATCTATAGATATAGGAAGAACGCTAAGGGGGCGGGGTTATAACGTCTAGCTTAATAATAAGCTAGGCGCGGTATAGCTTAACACTATACTAAGGCTCTCTCCTAGCCGGGCTATAATAGTTGCCTCCCCTCCTATAAGCTAGTCCGCTAGATCTATTATAGTAAAGTGTAATTAGATTATAGCCGCATGCCTCTACGTAGGCTATAAGGCAGCTTATAGGCGGCGGTTCGTATATAGTGGAAGGTGATAGAAGCGTTACTATTTATAATGCTAAGCATTATAAATTACTACACTTATTACTATCTCGTGACCGTCAGCTTTCTAAATATATAAATAAAGCGTTCTATGAAATTCTTTCCCCTTCACGTCTCTTTCTTCTTATTATTAACAAACTCTTGTAACGCAAGCATTACGCAACCTCTTCGCCTTTTTAAATTCCTATGCTTAAGCTTTATATCGAATAGCGAGATGTCTTTAGACGGTTCCTAGGTAAGATAATTGCGTTATAATATCGAGATAGCGTGTTAATATAAGTTTTACTTATAGGTCCGGGAAATTAACATCGCTCCGCGTTCGCGCGGCCCTTTTATTCCGCTCTCTAAGCCGTGCTGTCTCCGCTATTTAAAGAACCTTATAGAAGCAGTCTGCGATAAAAGGGACGGTCCTTGTAATTTTAGCATGCGTTACTTACAATATATTAACTTGGGGAAGCCTTATCTACTAGTAGGTATTTGTAGTATTTACGAATATAGTTTAACGGCTAAACGCTTTTAGATCCCGCTAAAGTATAATAAGATCCTAAATAGTCTTTTTAAGATACGGGACTTACGTGTTGCTTCTAAAAATACGATATAGGTATAGCGCGATGCCGCCACTTATACGGCGGCGCGCTTCCCTAATCTTATACGTGCGTGGTCCTTACGCGTAGAGCGCGAAATTAAAGAGGACGTAAAGATAGGTCTTATCTATTAGCCGAAAAGCGCTATAGAGCTATTACTCCTATAACTTAAGGAGAGTATTAAAGCTTAACTCGTGTAGGAGTAATTGCTAAATACTATACACGCGATTATAAGTAGTTTTACCGGCTTATACCTTTCGACTTTACTAATATAAGTAGAACTATTTTCTGCCCCTTAACCTTAAAGAGCTGTAGTATCCTAGCTAGTTTATAGATAAGGATGTCGCTATAGAGGATGAGGTAGGTAATAGCGGCAGCAACAGCCCACTGCCGATAGATGACGAGGGCGGGGAGGATAGAGGTGCTACCTTAACTCTAAAAAAAAAGAGGAAGCCTTAGCCCTAAAAGAAGGATAGCCTAGTGACTCTACAACGAAGGCGGAATGCTAGCGCCACGAAGCCTACCACGCCGATAGTTAAGAAGGCTGGCACGACTCTAGGGTCTACCGGGCGAGGTGGCCGTGCTACGCGGTCTACTAAGTAGGGTGGCGCTACTATAATAAGCAGCCGAGCTGCTAGAAGAGCGCCTAGCTTAGATACTATCGAGGAGGAGGCTGCTACCCGTATTAACTATACGCTAGATAGCGACGATAAGCGGAAGCAGCGTAATAAGGCTACCCGCTAGGCGAAGGAGAAGAGTAGGGTAAGAGGCGCTACGCCTATAGCGAAGGTAGGCGATTCCCCTAAGGTTTATAAGATTGCGGCTTTATAAGCGGAGTTTACTGCTAAGAGAGCTACCGCGGGGCTGCTAGTAAAGCGTAAGCGGGCCCCTTTACCCTATATAGAGAAGGAAGAAGACGAAGAGAACCTAGTTCCTCGCTATTACGCTAACGCTAATAAGAGGCGTCGCTAAGAGGAATACGCGCGGTTCTTAGCTAAGTAAGCCGCTACGGAGGATGCCGAGCTTTAAGCTATAAAGGAGAAGTTAGCTACACTACGCGCTGTAAAGGAGGAGAAGGCGGCGTGTAGGAAGCGCGGTGCTATAGATAAGCCCTTATTCGTTTCTAAGAATAAGGTTATAGACAAAGCCCCCTTACTAGGTAGCGATAAACCCCTCTTCTTACTATTAGCTAGCTATAGCTGCTCTACCGCAACGCTGTTATCTTATAGCGCTCCTAGGATGCTTTTTCTATAGGTGTAGGTGCCGGCTTCGCTGTCTATCCTACGTACTTCCGGCAGTTTGAGGAAGGTGGTGCCTAGCGGTTTAGCGTTCGGGATGCCGTAAAATAAGGTGTAGTTTAAGGTCCCCCGCGGCTCTAGGTTGGGGTAGAGTGTGTAAAGCGCCGTCTTATTAAAAGTCGATAGTTTAAAAGCTATATAAAATTCTGTTTTTTTTAGCTTAGGAGATAAGGGTGGAGAACTTATTATTTCCTTACTTCTTACTTACTTATTGCTTTCGGTTTCCTTAGTTATACTACTAGAATAGACTCGAATTATGCTTTATAGTTAGTTCCTAACCCCTAAACTATAGTAATGCTACACTTTCTAATAGAACCTTATTAAAACCTCTAGAAAAACCCCTATAGGGAAAATACCTAGGGAAAGAGTATTCTAGCTTTTAGGACTACCTCTTACGTTTTCTTTAC